AATGAAAGACAAATTGTTTTCCGCTTAAAGAATTTATATGATATTAGAACACTTATTAAAATGACAACAATTGAAAAAGTAATAATAGACATTAATATAAGCATACCAGCAAATTGCTTAGCTTCTTCAGTAGGAACTGCTCGCAAATGTCTCAAATCACTCTTGTTTCCGACAAGCATAATTACAATATTACTATCAGCATGATCCCTTAATTCTTTCAACCAACGGTTGACATTTTCATATGTTACATGTTTGGCAATATCATAAACAAGTAAAGCACCAACAGCTCCACGATAATATCTAAAAATCCCCAAAATATAAAAAATTTAGATAATATCGAAAGGTTTGGATGGTGCAACAAAAGTTCAAGATAATGATAACTTACGCGCTTGTAATAGCTCTATAACGTTCTTGACCAGCTATTATGAAATAACTAATAATAAAAATTTATAATTTATTCAATGATTTTCACAAATGACGAAAAAATTTTTTAGTAATCTACTCAATGAATATCCAGCATTCATAAATATCATTATAGTATTGATATATCCTACCCTTAATATGTTACCCTATGTTTTGATTGATTAGTCGATTGAATTCTACGACTCCATTTTTCTCAAATTCAGCCTGAAATTTTATTTTAATATACAAAATCGTGTACAAAGTGCACGTGGAGACAATAAAACATTGCTAAAAGCCGAAAATGAAAATCTCGTGAATATACATTAACATTTAGCTCAATAAGTATGATTCAATTAATGAACTTCTTACATTAGAGGCGTTAATAGTCATTATTAATATGATAACTCTATTAAACATTAATTTTGTTTCAAAAATATATTGCAATTGCAATATATAAACGATCTATTATTTCTTTTCTTTCTTTTCTTTTTTTTCTTTCTTTTCTTTCTTTGCTCGTTTCTTTGCTTTCTTTTTTTCCTTTTTTAATTTTTTGATAAGATAATCTCTCATTGGATCATCTGGATCAAATTTGTCAGCAAACTCGTCTTCCGAATCTGAATCGGATGATTTTCCTTCATCTTTTTCATCTTTAACGTTATATTTAATGAAATGGTA